CCGTGCTTTAAATAGAATCAATTTTTGAGGCTCTAAGATGTTCATATAAAAGATTCAATATTATAATTTATGAAATACTAGATTAATTCTAATAGTTATTTAGTTTGGAACACATTTTAATGTTGTACTTAATTATAGTCCCAATGTTAGTACAGTAGCATTATTTATAGGTCTGTTTGGGTGAGTTTTCTTTGAAGAAGTTAAGATTATCATGTGCCTAAAGAATTCCCATTGTTTATTTAATGAATTTCTCATATCACCTAATCACATATAGAATTTAAATTAATACAAAGCTATATTTAAAAACAACAAGAGGGGCCGGCCGAGTGGCTCAGTTAAGAACTCGCTCAAGAGTGTGAGCTCTGAGCAACAGTGGTTCGATTCCTGGCCCGAATTGAGCTGCCACTGAGCTGCCAACAGGTGGCAGGATGGCTCAGCTAAAAAAAAATAATAAAAAATAACGAGTGCTTTAAACACTCTTGATGTCTTCCTAATTTGGAAAATCGCAGTTAAAATTAAAATGAACTCCCCAATCAACATTGTATTCTTTTGTAGTGTATTTGAGTTCAAAGTAGAGTGTTAAAATCTCTTCCAGTGGAATTAAGACATTCAGTGAAATAGACGTATTATTATATTTTAATGTGAGTCTACTACTATCTTGGTGGCCTTGGGGAAGTAATTAACTTCTCTGAACAACAGCTTCTTTACCTATGAAACTGGATAATAATAATTATTCTATGTGGTTCTTATGAAAATTCAATTAAAATAATTAAAATTAGGTATTTATGATATGCATATTTATTTCTTCTTTAGGTTTTATTCTTATGGCACATAAGTTTTCTTGTTTTCCTTATGATAGTTATTTGTTTTAATTATTCCTCATATGCTACCGCAAAGCCTTTCTAGAACAAGCTTGGGTTAAGATAGTATCTGGCACATAAAAAGTGCACAAGACCTATTTGTTAATTTTCCCTTCTTTAATATTCTTAAATATACCATTTTGGAATGAATTCTCACAGATGAGACATGGGAATTATATTTAAAATATTTAATAACCCATGTTGTAGGGGTACGGTTCAGTCTGAAAAGTTGATGGCAGTGAGCAGAGTGAATTGGCTGAGTGTTAATCTTGGCTGAGTGCCCATAGCGGTTGAATGCATTTAACTTCCTATTTTATGTTTGAGGCTAGCCAATAGAAATATGGTTAACTATTGACATATTAAAATTATTAGGGTCAGACTTGTGTTTTAAAAAGGAGAGGTGTTTAAAGGAAATTGAACTGGGGATAATGCTTGGAGCAGACACCCTGGCCTAATGTAGTTCATCCATCTTTATTTACTAAACCCATCCAATCTTGGGAAAAAATATTCAAAAGAACAAAATAAAAGAAAACACAGCTTAGAATATTAATCTTGAACATAAGACAAAAAAATGGATAAAGTTGGTTTTTCCTATGACTTGTAAATGTTGAAATGTATATTACAAATAAATATTGCTTGTGGAATAATTTATGTTTGAAAAAAGTATTTCTTTTCTCAATTTTACTTATTATAAACATTTCCTATTCTTAGATTTTTCCAATTTGTAACTACAAATATTGAACAGTAATTTGATAAAATTATTCATACAAATTATATGTATTTTAATATATTTTAATAATAGGTAGACTAAATATGGTAGTGAATTAAGCTTACTTTCTGAAGAAGGGGTTAAATGTAGATTTAATAATCCAAATTCTAAAAACTTCAGAAATTATAGTGACCAACTTTTGTATCTAACATATAGCAGTATCCATCTATGTGCATTTTCAATGAAAAATTGAACAATGATTATTTTGGGGGAAGAGTAAACATTTGATTTTCAATATACCTGTGTTTTAACACTTCAAAGTGACATGCAATTGTTTTCTTAAAAATCTGTTTATTAATATATGCCTTATTTTTGTTTTTCTCTTCCTCTTTTTCCTCTCTCTTTACTCTGCTTCCTTGGATGCTTTCCCAAAGGAGGACAAAGTGGTTAGAATCCATGATTTCTTTCCTATCATTTGTTATGATAATGTTGTGAACTTTATTAAGTGAATGTTTCACCTAGTGTTGTTAATCACTGTATTTCACAAGGAAATTATATGCTAGGAAGAGCTCATTCCCAGTTCTCATGGGAAAAATAATAAAATGAACATCTAGGAACATTACAGCTTCATATTCATAGGTAAAGTTTGGGTAGTTTGAGCTCATGGGGATGGTGATATTTTAGTATAATTTAAATCATTATGAACTTATATGTCCTCTTAGCTCTCTGAGTTTTGATGATGATTCCATCTGCTGTTAGGAACAATAATGTCTAAGGGACTCTACCTTTCTCAGCACTCAAGAGATGTATAGGCAGATAATTTGAAACTTTATTGCAGAAGGAATGGAATGGACTGATTTAGTGGAGAGAACGGATCTAATTAAAATCAAGAGCTCAAAAAAAAAATGACTTTTCTATAGAACACAAGTAGCAGAGTTGTCATATTGAACCACATTATACCCTTCTCCCCTGTGCCGAAATCACTCC